TGTGCGTGTGCGTGTGCGTGTGCGTGTGTGTGTGTGTGTGGGTGGGGCGTGCGTGCGTGCGTGTGCTTGTGTGTAATATAAAAACCTGATCACAGACATATCACACCTCGGAATAAAAAAAAGATAACGGCGATAGCATTATATAATTACTACTAGGATGACAAAGTTCCTGTAGTAACGACAGCCGGTATAGACCTGCTTAATAGAGACAATTAATCGCCCAATTAATTGCCCAGGAGCTAAAGACTCAAGCGAAACAAGTCGAAGTCGAGGTGGATTTGAAGACAACGCGTCATAATAATATTTTTTTCTGAGAAATGAAAGTATTTGGGTGCAATTCTAATTTGGCTGTTCATTGTTCTATGGCTTGTAAAGCTGTGCCTGTTAATCAATCGAGGAGCTGCTTTCATTGTGTATACTTAATTAGTTTAATTAGCTTAATGTGTACACTTGATTAGCTTTAGACGTAGCAAGTACTAGGTAGAACCAATGCAGTGATGGAGGGGCAGTGTAACATGGATGAGCCAGGTTTGCACTCAGTTAGGGTGATTGGCATGTATGTTTCGTGTGATGTGCACACTGGCGCCCACAGGTCTAAAGAAAGTAGAAGCACAGAAGGATAAAATCCTCAGTGATTATAAAAAGCAGGCGCGCTGCATACTAGGGGGGTCTGGGGGCATACCCCCTGAAAATTTTTGAATGGTAGCCGTCTGAAGATGCAATCTGGTGAGTCTTGCGAAAGAGATTTAGGAACAAAATGTAGAAACAAAATTTTGCATATAAGAATGTCTGGCCAGGCAAACACCTGCCCTGGCCTTTACATTGCGGATATATCGGGTCCACTGAAGCGATCGTTTACTCTAGGTTCTAGGGTTATTTTCAGTTAATTTAGGTTAAAATTACGCTACATAAAATGTTTCATGGTTCAATCACCATTAGAAATATTATTTTAAAATGTCTTAAAACTAACGACTACAGTTTGATTACAACGACGGTGGAGCCACTCAAAGCGCACAATCTGATAAGTTGCGCAAAACGACTTTTCAGCTAAGGGCTACAGACCGAGGGTGTTTCTTATTTATTAATTTAAAAGCAAAAAGATTGTAATATCTTATAAACGACATATAGTTTCAGTTATATTATGGATAGATTTGTCCTAAAATAAACATCGTTCGGTTAAATAGCATTTAGGTATAAATATAATTGCACCTTTGTGAATAGCCCTCGGTCTGTAACGTGCAAAATAAATTTGTAAATGCGCAACTTTTTCAGGGTGGCAGCACGGTCGCGGGTGTCAATGGCGCCGTTCAAATTTCGTAGCGTTGATGTATAATTAATTATAACAATTAAATTAGGTATCTGGTAACAAGTACGTGTGGGTATAGACGATTTGTTATACAGTAAGTACAGTTGTATGCAGTAAAATCCTAGAGTCCAGTATCCCTTTAAGGATTATATGCGTGGTAGTATATGCGAATTTGATGCGTGTGTTTAAAAATACAATGAAGCTGACGCGAAACTGACGCACCCAAGATGGAAGCCTAACTAGCCTAGTGTGGCTATGGCATGAAGACTACACTGATTAATTAGTTGAAGACGTGAGAAATGCATGGTTAACTATCTGTATCAAGAGATGTTGTGAAGCTGTGTGCAGTCAATAAATCGATAATATACATTAGTGAATATAATCAAGGGTAGAGATTCGTGTTTCCCTGATATAGTATTAGCGCTTTTACAAGCTTAGATCTATGCTGTCACTTTGGGACAGTTAACGCTTTTTTACATTAGTATAATCAGTTGTTAATAATGACAATCTATAATGATTATAATGGTAATGATATAATTGAATGATAATGTTACTATTTGTCATTATTTACCCATGGTATAATGCAATTGGAAAAGGAATAACCGCGGCGCTTAGGATGGATATTACGAAAGGCATCACTGATATCTATAATATTCTAATATATAATATAAATATAATGGTAATATAATGGTAATATAATAGTTATATGCATGGTATAATGGTATAATGGTATAATATATATGGTAATATAATGGTAATAATAGTCCATGGGCCAAGTCCCCAAAAATAGGGTTTTTTGTACCATATGGAGGGACCAGTGTTATCATGACTTTTTGGAATCTGCAATAACTGAAGTTTATTATAATCCATGATAGCAAGCTTCTATGAGTAACTTTCTTGCCGAAATCACGTGATCAAATGACGTCATCTGAAATTGCCTGATGACTGCCGAATAGCTCTATAAACTATTAACAATTCATTTTTAAACGAAAATTTTTGCGCAAGTCATATCAGAGAGGTCAATAGGTTCATATAAAAATGTGCAAAATCTTAAAAATGTTTTTCTTGTTGTCATAGCAACCGACATGCTTCCTAAATCAGCAACTAAACTAATATTTTACCTAGAGTAACGTTTTCCGTTTCAAAATTCGTATAGCAACATCCACACAACATTGCAAAAAGGTCAATCTTTACTTCTCAAGACCATTCCAGCACATGTTAGCAATATTGCATAAGCTAACGAATAGTTTACAGCTCCCTTAAATTGTTCAGCTAATTATATAATCGTCTCGATCCTCTGTTTCGCCTGTCCTCGTCCTTCAAAGGCCATTGTAGAACTTGCCTCATTGGAGACTTGGCCTTGGTGTCCGAGGTTTTAAAGCATCATCTTCGCTGATATATTAAGAAAGAGTGATGCTACATATTTGTCAAAACAGTGGGATTAATGGGCAGTTGCCATGACAACCATGATTTATACACATATATAATAATTAAGTACCGTTCTTTTCTTTTTTCAAAACAAGACATATATGTAATACTATAGCCATCGTGTTATAAATACAGTTTTTCTCGAAAAACACAGCACGTGGAAAGTTATTTGATATTTTAACTGGTTACAAGACCTTTACCTAGAGCTATCGTCATCATCAGATACAGCATCATCGTCGTCATCTTGCCTGTTGGTACATTCCTGGAGCCGACACAGGTCCGTGCATCGCATGCCGTTAGTAAGACAGAAACACGATGGAAGCTTGCAGGACCTACTGCACTGGCACGATAGCAGCCCCATAACTGCTTTCGGTGCCGGCTGCCCATCCATCCAGTCGACGACCAGTTTGCTATCTTCCCTGTACCAACCAGATCCTACTGGTGATGGTATTTCTGGACATCTTTCCAAACTCCGTCTCCATAGAGCAGTCTCGTAATTGGATCGTAGAGAGTGTTTGCAAAGGGTGTCACTGCAAGGTGGCAGCTGATTTGAGTCGACGTCTCCTTTCTTCAGGCAGAACAGACGGTAGCGCAGTTCATTGACGTCGCTTGTCTCAGAGTTTCTACAATACATCTCGCAAGTAAACTTCTGAAGACTCTGGGACAACTCATCTGACACTCATCAGTCCCTGCCCAGTTGCTGGAACACACCCTGGAACTCGTCACTCTGTTTCATCAGGCGATACGCTGATATCTTACTCTGCCCGGCAAAGGCGCTGACAGTGTCGCATCCAGTGAAAGCATGTAGGCCTGGAAAGGATCTACATACACTTGATCCTATGCTCTCTACTATTTTGTCGACATCTACGTACTTTACTTTGGTCTGCGACCACCATTTGATAAACATCGAAGTTGATATAAAGCTCTTGATTGCCAAGCAAAGAACAAAAACATCCGTGTCTTCGGATACCACGACGACTGCAGCAAAGCTAGATGATTTTGCTGCATGGTCTGCATGTGAGAAAATTCGGGTATCAGCCTCCTCTTGACTTGATTCTA